CTCTCTCTCTCTCTCTCTCTCTCTCTCTCTCGCTAAGTCGTTCCTTTGAACGGATAAACCCAGACTTCCTACTCATTACTGCAACATTGCAAGCTTCTGATGTGTTGATTGCAAACACGGAAGGCCTAGGGCTATAACACGGAAGGCCTAGGGCTATAATTCAGCGCGCACCTGCACTTTCTTGTGAACGTGGCTGCGAGTGTCCCTTGAACCTGCCTACCATGGGCCAGTAGGCCTCCAGCAGTGCTCCTTCACGCAGTCATCTTACTGTACTCCTGACACACCCCCCCCAAAATAGGGAGGGGGGATTAATGCTCTTTAAAGTTTGCTTAATCCAAGAACTGAATTCAGCTCCCCCCTGGTTTAAGAACATAACATAGAACTAAGAATGGAGGAACACTGCAGAAGGCCTACTGGCCCATGCGAGGCAGGTCCTTATCAAAACGACTACTTTTCAGATGAATGGTTCAGAGAACCGACATGTTGATAAATTAGACACATGTGCAACTCTTGGTATCTTTATTGAGGAAACGTTTCGCCACACAGTGGGTTCATCAGTCATACAAAGGGGAATCTTGGAAAAACAGGAGGAGAATGAGTAATCAGTCCCTCAACCTTGAGTCGATGTGGTCAGTCCATCAATCTTGAATAGAATGCGGCATACGTGCTGAGAAGGAGCTTATAAACCGTTTTGGCAGGAGAGGTGCAGCAGTCATAGGTGGGGTAACATTTGTTCAATGTTGAAGTAGGTCGTGCCCAAGAATTAGGCAAGCGAAGAATTCCCAAGTATTAACAATATGATATTGTTTCAGACTTTGGAACAATGCTCTTCTCCAGACTGAGGGACTGACCACCTCAAAACTTTAAGGGTGATGGACTGATTACATCGTCTTCAAGTCTCTTCTGCTTCTATCAACTTTTCTGTACTCGACTGAAGAAGCCTACTGTGTAGGCGAAACGTTTCGAAATAAAAATACCTAACTGTTGCATATGTGTCTTACCTAACAACCTGTCGGTATTTTATACCACTTTAATGTTCAATATCTCCCTTGTTTATGCCCGTCATCCACTTATACACTTCAATGTATCTCCCCTCATTCTTTCGCCTCTCCAGAGAGTGGAGTTTTAAGGCTTTAAGTCTATCTTCATACGGGGGGTTCCTTCACGTAAATCTTTTTTGTCTTCTTCTCTGATTTTCTCTAATGAGTCTATACCATCCGAAAAGGGGCCCAAAAAACTGGCACATAACAAATGAGGCCTCACGGGATGATGAGCTAAAAAATAACTTTTGGACTTCTGTTATTTTAAACTTTTTAGAAAAACCCAATAATCTTGGCCTTTTGGACACAAGGCACTCTTCTTGGGTTTAATTTTGCTCACCATGACCCCCAATTTTTTCACTTCTGTAGACCAACTCTTTTCACCTAGATTAAGCTTCGAGGGTTATTTTCTTTACCTTTACATTATCCACATTAAATTTCTCTGCCATTTTTCAGCCCCAAGACAAAAATTTGCCCAAATCGCCTGGATTCATTAATCCCCCTCAGAGTGAATTTCGGCCTATCTTTTTCACCACAAATTTACTCGTGTCACTCGTAATCCCTTCATAAGGGTCATTAATTAAATTTGAACGGGAGGGGGCCAAAAAACTGGTAAAAAACTGCGCTTATACCGCCAGTCTTCTTCCCTTTTGTCCAAATTTCTCCTCCACCACTCAAAACACTAACCCCAAAAGGGGGGGACTGATTCCCTCATCTTTTGTATATTTTTTTCACTGTCTTCCCCTTTTCCAGAATCTGTATTGAAAAAGCCACGGGAGGGCAAAGTCTACAATAAAATACCCAAAGTTCACTTTGGGTTTTAACTTTCAAAATTGTCGTTTATTTATACCTTTCTTGACAACTTAAACCAAATGGGCTTCAAACATACTCCCACTTCCAAATTGATGGACTGAACCATCGCTCCAGGCTGAGGACTGATTACCTCATACTCCCCCTCCTTACGCCTTCCTCTTTGTTTTGGACGATGAAGCCACTGTGGGGCGAAACGTTTCCTGAAAAAGTTCCCATATCTGCATAAGTTCTCAATTTTCAATGGAGAGTTGAACTTAAAATGTAAAAATTACCGCCTACGTTGGCAAAACGTTTCGAAAAAAAGATACTAACTTTCAATGGTCTTACCTAACAAGGTGAATACTTAGTAATTTTCCCCCCCCCCACACAGGTTGGTCACCAGTCCTCCTTAAAGGGTGGGGGGTTACCCCAACCCTCCGTACCCAGCAGTTACCATGACCCCATGCACCCCCGCCCACGCCCATCATGGGGGGGGTAAGTGGGAGGGGGCAGGGGGTGGCCACGCCTATAGGCAGAGGGGGCCCTCCTCGTGGCCTGCAGGCCCGGGACCCCCTCTCCCCACCCCACTACTACTACTACTACCACCCTCTAATCACAATATTACATTATACAAATACACTTACCACCTACACCCTCATTTCCCCCATCACTACCTCATTACCACCACACACCATCATTACCACCCTCACTACCATCATTACCACCACACACCGTCATTACCACCATCATACCAGTCATTACCACCATCACTACCCGTCATACCACCATCACTACCACCATTACCCCATCCACTGGCTTTTTAAATAAGAAGGAAAATAACCTAACAAGTATACCATTGTGTGTAGAGAACGACAGATAAAATAAAATAGAGATAGATAGATAATAGTAGGGGAAAAGAAGAGAGGAAGGAGAGAGAGAGAGAGAAAAGAGAGGAGAGAGAGAAGAGAGGGAGACAACAAGACAAGAGAGAGAGAGAACAGAGAGACACAGAACAAAACAGAAGAGAGAGAAAGAGAGAGAGAGAGGGGGAGGGGGAAGAGAAAAGAAGGAAGGGGAGAGAAGAGAGAGAAGAGAAGAGAAGGGGAAAAAACGAAAAAAACTGAAAAATCCAAGACAGACTCCACCCATAGTTTTGAAAGATGAATTTCACTTGGGCCAGGAAATGACCAACACACCGCTGCATACCCACCAGGGTTTAGGCTTCCCCCACCCACACACACACACACACACAAACAGTCCAAATGTCTTACGACAAGTGTCTTTTACAAAAGATAACACACACAACCCGAATCCAAAACTGAGGCACTGCCCCCTACCCCCAAAACATACCCCACGCCCCTACCCCCACTCCCCCCCCCTCCCTATTTAACATAAAAGGGACATTCCTATCACCCAAGGCTGTGATGGGAATTTGGCAGCGGGCCCCCAGCCCTTTATGGAAAGTTGGGAGCGGCCCCCAGCCTGTGAGGGGTATGTGGCAGGGGCCCCCACCTTGATGGGTATGGTGGGGACGGGCCACCACCGTGATGGGGGAATTGTGGACAGCGGGCACCAGCCTGTTAGGGTTTTGGTTGCAGCGGCCCCCCCTGAGGGATGTGGGCAGGGGGGCCCCAAAATGTGATGGGGATTTTGGGAGCGGGCCACCACCTGGATGGGGATGTTGGGACGGCCACCAGCCGTGATGGGGATTTTGGGCAGCGGGGCCCCCACCTGTGAAGGGTAAGTTGGGACGGGCCACCCGCCTGTGATGGTGGTGGCAGCGGGGCCCCCACCCGTGATGGGGATGTGTGGAGCGGGCCACCGCACAACAACCGGGTTTAGAAATTAAGACCATTGAACATTGATACTTTTTGTAGCTTTCGCCATCCCTGGCTTTATCAAAACAAATTTTTAGGACATAAATTTAAGACAGTAAACTTGTACAGAAGATGAGGTAATCATCCCTCAACCTTTAAGAGGGGCAAGACACCGTAGTCGTGGAGATTCTGAAGCAAAGCAAGGACCTGTGCTTAGTATCACGTCAGAAACCCACACTACGGGCTCTTCGCACCCGCTTCAAGTTGGGACGATACCCCACTCTTACAATTTTTCTGTCTTCAATTAGTCCTGAATTTATTGATAACCCCTGGGGGGCAAACGCTCAAAAAGATACCCCAAAGTTGTTACCTAACAACCTGTCGGGTTTTTATACCATTTTAATGTTCAAACTGTAAAGTAAAAGGACACAAGTGCAACTAATGTACATTTATGTGG